AAAAACCCTGTCTCAAAAATCAAAAAAAAAAAAAAAAGATTTATTTTTGCAATTTTAAGTTGTGTGTGTGTGTATGTGTGTGTGTGTCTTCCTGCAGGCATGTGTGCATGAGTGTAGGTGCCTGCAAAGGCCAGAAGAGGGCGTCAGAACCCCAGGAGCTACAGTTGCAGGCCATTGTGAGCTGCCCTACCTAAGCGCTGGTCATCTGGAAAAGCAGTTGATACACATTTTTGTAGACTGTTTTTGTTTTTGTTTTGTTTGTTTTGTTATTTCTTGTTTGGTCGGTTTTTTTTTTTTTTGACAAGGCGGGGCCACACTGGCCAGTTTATTGCAGTTAAATACCTCTCTCTCTCTATTTTTTTTGTCCATTTTTCCATAAAGAAAATTAAAACACACACACACACCCTTTGATACAGGGTTTCTCTGTAGATTTGGAAGCTGTCCTAGAACTCGCTCTGTAGACGAGGCTGGCCTTGAACTCACAGAGATCCGCCTGCCTCTGCCTCCTGAGTGCTGGGGTTAAAGGCGCGCGCTCTCAATGACTGAGCTATCAGCTCGTTCTCACACCAGAAAGTTTATTGCTCCTTTCCTGTTGTGGTTTTGGATCTTTTATTATTTACTTTTTAAAGTTACTGTATTTGTTTATATGTGAGTAGACACTAGGGTGCACCTTGTGGAGGTCAGAGGTCATCTTTCAGAGGCCAGCTGTCTCCTTCTACCATGCGGGCTCCAGAAATGGACCTGAGGTCATGGCTAGGCAGCAGACAGCTTTACCTCCCGAGCCATCTCCCGGCCCTCACTCTCCCTGTGGCCCGTGCTCGGCCTGAGTAATGGGACTACAGATGAGAACCAGCAAACCAGTTTTCATTCCCATTTACAAAACAGGGAAGCAGCCTTAGAAAAAGGTAGTGAGTGCGTGGTTACGGGCTGGTTGATGCAGGATGGAACCCGGAACCTCTGGTTACCACTTCCAATTCTCTCAAAGTCCTTATCACAGACGCCTCTGGCCACTGGCCTCTGGCACTTCCTGTGGCTCCCACTAGCTCAGCCACACAGTGCCAGCATGAAGCACACACAGCGCAGGAAGGTGAGGCTTTCTGAGAGGCAAAGACAGGACCTGGAGCTGGGAGAGTACGTCTCGCTAACACACCGAACTTGTGTGCCTCTGTGGAAGGATGCTCCCAGCACCAGAAAGCATGGAGGGAATGAAGCGGAGAGAGTTGAGTGACCAAAACCCCCAAGTCTGTCACTCCCCACTGGAGGAGGGACAGAGTGGGATTGGCAAACAGTAAAATCAAGACACGTTGGGACAACGGAGTGGGCGTTCATCTCGGGTACTCACATTCACGGTCCAGACTTCGGCTACATAGGCCAAGGCCTCCTTCTTGTTGAGCGTCTTCATTTCCTCCAGTTTCTGCCTAAACTTCAGGGCCTCTCCCTCCTCGTTGGCGAAGCTCCGCACCGTAGGCATCGCTGACAGGGCCTCGATGGCCACCTGTGAGGACTTCGCTAGAGACTCCTGCACCTTCATTTGCAATGACTGTGGGGAGACAGGGAGCAGAGGCATCACACTGGGCGTGCAAGTGAGAAGGACCACCAATACCTACGTTTCCCTGGTGGAGATTAGTCAGAGGGACAGAGAAAAGAGAAAGGTCCACAGCCATACTTCTAGGTAGAAGATGTGCAGAAGAAACTAATTCAGTTTTTGTAAGATTCATCTTTATTTTTATGCATGTATATGCACCATGTGTGTATATGCATCATGTGTGTATATGCACCATGTGTGTATGCATCATGTGTGTATAAGCATCATGTGTGTATGCATCATGTGTGTGTGCATCATGTATGTGTATGCATCATGTGTGTATACGCATCATGTGTGTATAGGCATCGTGGGTCAGAAGAGGCATCAGACCACAGACCGTCGTGAACTGCCTGGCGTGGGTGCTGGGGACCAAATGCTGGTCCTCTGGAGAAGCAGCCAGCACCCTTAGCCCTGAACTGTCTCTCCAGCCTGGGATCCGATTCATAAGGACAGATTGTGGCCAGAGAATGCAGAGATCATGGCTGTGGATGCAGGGCGGTGTGGGGCCAGAGACAACAGGGGTGGGGGCTCAGGATGACGGGGAAGCCATGGAAAGTCACACCCAGTGCAGCGTAGGAAAAACAGAGTGTGGGAACTGAGGACCCTGAGAACGTACCTGGTGCACTTTCCCCAGCTTCCGAGGCAGAAGGAAAAGCAGGGGCAGGGTGAGCAGAGTGACCAAAGTGAGGTACAGCGACCCCCAAAACATGAAGGCCAGGAGACACAGGCCTCGCCCCAGGTACCACATCAGCAGGTTCAGCTTGTCACTGACAGACTCACAGACATTGGATGTGTCCTCCGTTACCCGAGATGTGATGGAACCTGCCACATTGAGGGCGAGAAAGCCGGTGAGAGAGACAGCGGCTCACAGAGACAAGAGGAGCTAACAGACAACAGGGCACCACAGCGGGCATGTCAGCATGGCATCCTGAGGAGGCTGCAGCTAGCAGGGGTAGAAGCTTGGGTAGGAGTGGGAACCTCAGAGCAGGAAAGCTCTGGCATTGCGTTGGCCTATAAAGAAGTTGTAGCTGGGTGTGGTGTTACACACCTTTAATGCCAACACTCTGAGGGGCAGAGGCAGAGGCGGTCAAGGCCAAACTGGTCTACTCAGTGAATTCCAGGCCAACCAAGAATGCTTTGCTCCATTTGTGATACATCATGAATAAGGAGGCCTGGGAAGTCTCTCAACTGGTAGAGGTTTTGCCTAATATACAGGAAGTCCTGGATTTTAAGCAGGATCTCATGTAGCACAGGATGGCCTCAGGTTGGCTCTGTGGGTGAATGACTTTGAACTTCAGCCTCTACCCCCTGCCTCCATCTCCCAAGTGCTGGGATCGCCACGCCCCATTTATATGGCTGAGAGTTGAACCTAGGCATGTGTATGTAGCTGTTTATTAAGGGGGGCAGTTGAGGGCAGTGTGTATAGAGATATATAGGTTATATTATACAAACGAAAAAGTTTTGTGAGCTACCTGCTGGGTTCTGCAGGAAAAACCCCGTCTCCTGGCAAAGGACAGCCCGGAACACCTCTCCGTGTGCACGGCTGTGCATGTGGCCCATGGTGAGGTTGTAGATAGCATCTCCAGTAAACTCCAGCACTGTGCTAGAGGGGTGGAGAGACGGAAGGAGGGTCAGATGTGCTCCTGGGACAGAGTTCCGGATCCCTGCAGAGCTATACCAAAACAAGAGTCCCAGCATCCAGTTCCCTCTGCTCCAGGGCTCCCCTTTCCCATCCTCCACACCTGGCTATGGTGAGAACGGACATGAGCCAGATGTTGCGGGCAAAGCTCGGAGCCGTCTTATCCTGAAGAATCCAGTCAGTGATGCGGCCGGTGAAGAAGGGAATCGCCATTTCCCCTGGAGAGAGGGGGATCGCTCAGTCACAAACGTTTGGGGCACACCAGTTACCATCTCCTGCCCCTCTCCCTGCACCACCCAGAAAGCAGGGGCTGAGCCTGCCGACCCAAGCCTGTTCAGCTACATCAAACTTTTAAAAGACTAATTAAGAAAAATGTCAGTTAGCAGGGCTTGAGGCACAAGTCCTCAGTCCCAGCACTGAGAGACAGAAGCAGGCAGATCTCTCTGGGTTTGAGGCCAGCCTAGTCTACATAGTGAGTTCCAGAAAGTACATAGAAAGACCCTGTCTAAAAGGGAAAAAAAGAAAGAAAGAAAAAAGAAAAGAAAGATGGCGAAGTGGAGAGAAACCCTCACACTGGAGCTGTGATGTCGAGTTCTGCTCCCTGTGTCCAGCACCCTTGTAAGAGGTACCTCTCGGGCCAGGGTCCTTCCCTTTCCGCCTAACTTGCCTCCGTAAAATGGTCCCGCGACCATTTTATCTTCCTTTCTGCCCGTTACTATGGATTCCTTCCCTGTCCCCTGTGCCCTGCTCTTTCGCCCTGAGTCCCTCTTACCAAGGCAGGAGAGGACCAAGAGCATCAGAACCAGGTGGAGGCGCCGCTTCTCGGAACCCAGGAAGCCTAACAGTCGACACACCATGTCTCCAGCACCCCTGCGGCTGCTGGGCGCCCAGAGGCTCCCCAACTTGTACCATAGCGCGGCAGCGGGCAATGCTGCCACATAACTGAGAGCGAAAGCGTCGAGGCGACTGCCCCAGTACAGTACTCCAACGTTGTCACCGTCCCGGAGCGCTCCCCAGGAGGCCAGCTCTCTGAATAAGGCAAGTCCCGGCTGAGCTAAACCCAGCGCCGCTGCCAGTGGCGGCAAAACAGCCGACCATCCATGGGCTTCCGTGGTGACACCGAGGACCCGGCGGACCCCCAGCCTCAGGATGGCCCAGCGACTCAGGCCCACCGCCCAGACCCGGAGCAGGGGCAACTCCGGAACCAGCAGGGAGAAGATTCCCGGGAGCCCGGGCCGCAGCAGCAGCCAGTCGACCAGCAGCAGCAGCGCGGCCGCCAGCCAAGCAAGCGCAGCCATCGTGCGCTCTGTTCAGGGTCTGGTCCCAGCCTGGAACTCTCCGCGTCCCCGCTGCGCAGGAGTCTCCAAGGAAGGGAAGAAGGGCGGCCCCGCAGCGCGGAAAGTCCCCGCACCCGGTGGCGCTGGTGGCGCTGCCCAGAAGTGCAGGCGTTTACAGGAAGGAGAAACCGAAAGCCGTGGCCTAATCACTAGACACGCCCCCTTCTGTGACCCGCCTGCCCCAGGCTGGCCTTTTCTGGCTGTTCAGGAAGCTGCCACTGAAGTCAGATCTGAAGTTCTGGCTAGCGGCTCCTGCGCCCATGTTTTTCTCCATCACTCCATTCCCCTCTTCTTGCCCAGCCTTTTTCGCGTGCTTGCATGAATTTTCCCATCCCAGGCCCCACCCCAGTTTCAGGGCGGTGCCTTCAATCGTCACTTGTCTCTGGGCAGATCTGCCCTGCACAGGTTGGCGCAGGGCGCCAAGTGCAAGTAGAACTGCCCGCCCCTTGAGCGGTGATGGGGCGGGGCCGCAGGCTGCTAGCTGGGAGCGCGGCGCGCGGCAGCCGATTGGAAAGCCGAGCTCCGCTCTGCTAAGATGCTGCGGGCAGGAGCACCTGCCGCCGGCTTGTTCCGGACGGGAGAAGTCCACACCGGGGTAATGGGTCTGGGGGTGAGAGTCAGCGGGTGGGGTGACCAGAGAACCCTAAAGCTCTGGGAAGCGGACCAGGAGACTAAGACTTAGGAAGCTTGTGGCGCCCAGCGTTTGCGCTCCACAGTGAACGTAGGGTATCCCAGCTCAGAAGTGTGGTGTCCGGGGGTCTGTGGAGGGACCCGCATGCGAAGCTGGTGGGAAGGTGCGTACTTTGGCTCGAGCTGGGAGCTTCTAAGGGAAGTTGCTACAAAGCGCTTTCGCTTTCACTCTGGTCAGTGCAGGGGGTGGGTGGACTATTGGTTAAACTAAGTGAGGGGCTTGGGGACGCTGCAGAGAGGGGCTGACAAAGTGTCCTGGGTGCAGGACCTGGGTGAAAAGGTAACATGAAGGCTCGTTGAGAAGGACCTACACATCAAACATATCTTTGCTTAACCTGGCCCTTCACAACCTCTACCCTAAGCGAGGACAAGCTCTCTAGCGCTAGGGTTGTGGGGGGCGAGGGGCTGAGGGATGATCGGTGGCCCTCCTTGGCCCAGGTGCTGCCCTGCGCCCCCCCCCCCACTCCCATGCTTGCAGGAAAACTTTGCCCTGGCCTAGGAGCTGGGGAGGAGATGGGAACTGGTTTCTGCTCTCTGAAACACCAACCACACTCCTAGCGTGGTTTGGGAGAGCAGCCGCTAGAACGGAGTGGCCATTTCTGGCCTTTTATTTGTGGTCAGTACGTCAGAAAGTACACTCGGGTGCAGGGTCCCTGGAGATCAGAACGAGGTGTGGAGTGGCCAGAAAGGTCACTCGCTGCCAAGGAGCAGTAGGGAGTAGAAGTCTAATCAATCAGGAGTTCAGAGTGAGACCTGTGTGAGCTTGGAAAACCCATTCTTCTCCTAATGGGTTCTCTCCGTGCAATGGTGCAACCGAGGGTCTCTAAGGCGCCTTTTAGCTCAAGGGGCATGGGGGAAGTAGACACGACTTTATCCTTCTTCACATTTCCTTAATTCTTGTCTTGAGCTGCTGCTCCCCAGCAGCCCCTCCCCTGGTTGCAGAGAAGGCCCTTCAATGAGACTTCTGCTCTCTCTGAGCGTTCCTGGCAGCTTCCTCCTGCCTGTGTTAAGCACTCTTCTGTGTCCCTTGTTCAGTAACCCTGGGAACCCGCTCCTGATTAAATAAGGGTGCAGGTGGGGGATCCGGACCAGGAAAGACCCCATCTGCTTCACAGTCACCCATGTGATGTGCACTGGGCAAGCAGTGCAGACGTTTGCTCTCTGGCCTTCTCCTCCTGTCCTGCTTTCCTTCCCAGACGGATTGCTTCGGCCTCTCCGAGCAGCCCGTCCTAGCTTCTCTCCAGGGTGGGAAGGGTCACACTCAGGCAAGCTGGAGCTTGGGGGTAGGTGTCTCTACTCTGTACCACAGCCAAGCTGCAACAGTACCCTGCAGTCGGATACAACAGCACAGAAAACAGAGGGAAGCTCAGGCCTGAAGGACAGTATGACCTTGAGTCAGTCACACACACACACACACACACACACACACACACACTCCCGCCACCAAGAGTTGTCTTCCTTAAGATGAAGGGCCGAGGCGCTTCTTGCTCTGACATTTCATGCTCTGTGTCTCTCTACAGACAACCATCATGGCGGTGGAGTTTGATGGGGGTGTCGTGGTGGGTTCTGATTCCCGGGTCTCAGCAGGGTGAGTATCATAAAAGCGCTATGTGTTGGGAAGGGAGCTGGTGGCCCTAAGTGCACTTTACCCGTACCCGCTTTGGAACAGTATGGTAACCATCCAGGAAATGGAGCCGAAGTTTCCAGAAAGCCGTCAGAATGCAATGCTGGGTAGGTGTTTGGACCTCTGAATTCCTGGGCAAGGATCTGCAAGGCTGAATGTTTTGTAGTTTTTGATGGTCATAAAGAAATCTTGTCTCCGAGGGGCATGGGGTAGGTTGTGGAGGGACCCTGCTATCTGCACTTAGGATGAAAATGGTTTTGTCAAGCAGGGATCTCGCTCATTTACCGCAGTTTGAACTGCATTTGCTTGGTCTCCCCGCCCCCGGCCATTTTCCCCACACACCAGTGAGGCTGAGGCTGACATTACCGCTGTTTCTGCTCTGTTCTGTAAAACCTGCCACAGCCCCTCAAGGTGACTGACAGCAGAGACAGGCCAGGAGGAGGCACGCTTTTCTTCTTCTCTTCACCTTTATTAGTATTATTTTAAAAAAGGGATTTTAGCCCTGACTGTCCTAGAACTCACTCTATAAACCAGGCTGACCTCGAACACAAAAGTCCTTCAGCCTTTGCCTCCCGAGTGCTGGGATTAAAGATGTGCACCACCGCCACCTGGCTCAGAGGCACGTTTTTCTTAACAAGGTGTTCTTTTTATTGTTTTGCTATAAAATATAGGTATTTAAATTTTATTTAAATAATTTTATTTAAATTATTTTAATAATAAAATTTAAAAGTCTAGATTCAGGGGACTTTAGTGTCTAAAATAGTCTCCTGTAGTGCAGGTTGACCTCAAACGTGCTATTAGTTAAACTGGCCTTGAACCCCTGATCCTGCCTGTGCATCCTGAGTGCACTATATCCAGCTTGGGCCACGTGGGTTTTGCGCCTGCCAGGCAGGGTCTATGCCACCTGGGCTGCATCCCCAGCCCAGCAGTCTCACTGTGGTTAGCACGGTGAGTTACCTAGCTGACATAATGTCTGTTTGCTTTTCCTGTTTTAATCGAAGCATTGCAAGCCTCACTCTTGTCAGACCAACTTGAACGTTTGGCTCCTTCCCAACAGACAAGCGGTGGTGAACCGGGTGTTCGACAAGCTGTCCCCTCTGCACCAGCGAATCTACTGTGCCCTCTCCGGCTCAGCTGCTGATGCCCAAGCCATAGCTGACATGGCCGCCTACCAGCTGGAGCTGCATGGGTACGAAGACCCGGGGTCCTGTAAACCCCCCAGCTGCATGGCTTTGCTGGCTTTGAACTTGCACTGGAGTGTCCGGGGACCAGTGTCCTGCTTATGTGGAGAGGAAATCACAGTCTCCCCTGTGGAGGCTTGAAAAGGGCACATCGTGGCCCTGATATAGGAAATCAGGAAGACGCCAATTTGGCCCACACCTAAAATCAGGCGGTTGCCAGATGAGAAATCAAGGTCATTGGGGCGGAAGCAAGGCTTATCTGCTCTTACACGAGAGGGCAAGGCCCTTAGAGTCAAAGGAGGGGTTTATCAATAGGAGTGAGAAGGTGGAGACCAGAAAAAGAGGGTGAACAGCTGAAGACCTCTCCCTGGTGATGTGGGACCCCAGCTCCCCTAGGCACGTGGGAGAGAAGCTTGGAGTCTCCTGCTGCCGGCTCAAATGTAGCTGGCAAAGAGGGTGACCGTGGTGCCAAGGGTGGGAGAGGGTGACCGTGGTCCAAGGGTGGGACTTAGAACACGGTACCGACCTTAACTCCCAACATCCTCTTCAGGTTGGAACTGGAGGAGCCGCCCCTTGTTCTGGCAGCTGCGAACGTGGTAAGGAATATCACCTACAAGTACCGCGAGGACTTGTCTGCACATCTCATGGTAGCTGGTTGGGACCAACGCGAGGGGGGCCAGGTAAGCGTGCCACTTCCTGGTCTCGGGGTTCCCGACTCCTCTCTTCAGAGAGATGAAAGTCTCATGTCATTCTGGCAATGTGGTCCAAAGACAGGGCCTCTAAAACCTACACCTGACCAGGTGTGGTGACACATGCCTCCAGTCCCAGCACTCGGGAGGTGGGGGCATGTGGACCTCTTAGAGTTTGAAGAACCTGATGTAGATAGAGTTCCAGACCAGCCAGGGCTACACAGTGAGACCCTGCTTCAAAACATATGAATGAATGAATGAATGAATGAATGAATAAAGGAAGGAAGGAAGGAAGGAAGAGAAAGAAAAAAAGAAAGGAAGGAAAGAAGGAAGAAAGGAAGAAAGAAAGAAAGAAAGAAAGAAAGAAAGAAAGAAAGAAAACCGCAGGTTCAATTGTGGGGTCTCTGTCTTCATATCTGCTTGTCTCAGTGGAGAAAGCTGTGGGGTGATCCTTGACTCTGACCTGGGGAAACCGGTCTCTAGGTATACGGAACCATGGGAGGAATGTTGATCCGACAGCCCTTTGCCATCGGGGGTTCCGGCAGTACCTACATTTACGGTTATGTGGACGCAGCCTATAAACCAGACATGAGCCCTGAGGAGTGCAGGCGCTTCACCACAAATGGTAACTAGCCAAGTGAGGGCTAATTTGGGGGGGGGGTTGTGGACATGGAAAGAAAGCAGACTGTTGGGAATCAGAAAAGGAATACATGGGTAAACATTCACTTTAGTTATGTGTAGGTACATGCGTGTGTCTGTGGGGGGGGCTTGTGCGAGTGTCCGTGGAGGCCAGAAGAGGCTCTCCTGGAGCTGGAGTTACAAGCAGTTGTGAGCCACCTGATGGGGGTGCTAGGAACCAAACTCGCCTGGGTCATCTGTAAGAGCAATAAGTGCTCTTAACCACTAAACCATCTCCCCAGACCCACCCTGTAAAACTGGGAGAGTGGAAGGGAACGAGGCAAATGTTAAAAGAGCTCTGGAGCAGCAGGGATGCATGGGGCTGCTTGGAGCAAATCAAGTAAGAGAAAAAGATCACTATGGGAACCAGCAGCGTGCTGGGCTAGCACCACCCGGCTCCAAGTCAGCTCGCACAGGCTTGATTTGGGCAATGTGG